GGGGGTGGGGTCCTGCTTTGTCCAGGCATGTCCTTGTGTAAGACTCATTTACAAACACCTCCCAGTCCACCTAGGGGCGGCTCCAGGGGTTGGGGTAGAGAAGGAGAGTGAAGGGTGTAGACTTAGGGCCCCCCGACCCACCCAGGGAGCCAAGGGTCAGTGGGAACATCTTGGGAGTCTAGTGCAGGGGTGCAGGATGAACACTAAGAACATGAAAAGTCATGCAATAAAGTGACCCATGACCACGAGACACAGGTGGCTGTACAGCAAAGGAGGGAGATAGAAATTTAGACCCAGGCTCTGAGAAACTTGAGAGGGGCTGGAGGGTCCCAGGAGCCCTCAGGAAGAGCTCTTCTAGGGGCACAGACATCGCAATACACACATTTCTCATGGATGTTTTTGGGGTGCCGAGTGAGTTACCAGGATCCTGAACTTAGTATGTAATCCCACCCCTTTGTTCATCACGGTTCCTGGCAATAAATTGCTGTTATTTGTCCCTGGACATGCACAGGGGAGCTGACTGCTGTGGGGGTCACTGCAGGACTAGAATCTTCTGGTATGGGCTCTGTGACCACAGAAGCCCAGGGGGATTTCTTTCTTTTTTTATTTTGAGGGGAAAGTAATTAGGTTTATTTATTTATGTATTGGAGGAGGTATTGGGAATTGAACCCAGGACCTTGTGCATGCTAAGCATGCACTCTACCACTTAAGCTATACCCTCCCCCCAGGGGGATTTCTTAACAGGAGCACTTGGAGACCATGCCTGCAAGGACCACCCTCATGGGATGGCCAAGGAGCCCGTGGTACCCAGGTCACCAAGTGACGAAGTTTTGAGGTTGCCTAGGGTATCCTGGGGGCATGTAGATTTCTGTGGCCAGCACATGGGCCCAGCACTGTGGGATGGTCTGCACAAAGAGGGGCCTGCCCTCCTGATGATGGCTCCTAACACCTGCAGGGAAACTGCTCCCAGGGCTCCTGGAGGTCCATAGTAAGAGTGTCCTGCCAGACATGTGGGGTCACCTTCCCCTGATGCAGAGGCAGACCTCTCCCCCTTGAGACCCAGGGGACACCTGGCTGAGGTCCCACCTGTGTGCCCTGGACACGCAGAGCCCCAGAGCTCTATCACAGCCTGGGGTGTGGTCGTGTTGGGGCAGGAAAGGCCCAGGGAAGGGGCTCACTCAGGGGCAGGGGCTACTCTGCAGGGATGCTGGACCTGGCAGCGATGCAATG